TGCTGTCCCAGCAGGTGTCTGTTACACCACTTGCATGCAGTGGCCTTGGAAGCCAGAAGAGGGCGTCAGACGACTGGGACTAGAGTTGCAGATGATGGTCAGCTGCCTGTCAGTTATGGGAATTGAACCCCTTCCCCAGGAAAGGCAGCAAGTAATCTTAACTGTAGTGTGCCATTTTTCCAGGCCCAACAACTTTTACTTTTTAAGTGTCCACTGAAAACGTAGCAAATTTCCTATTTGGGGCTTGGATAGTCTGTCACTCTGTGAAGCCAGACTTAAGGATAAAACTTTTTAAAAATTATTTTTATTTTACTTTCCTAGTAATAAAACCAGAAAGGCTTTGACAGAATCCCCAAAGGATTATGTCTGGCCTGTTTCCTCTCTAGTTTTGGTTCTATACAAAAGAACAAAACAAAACAAAAAACCAAAACCCAAAACACTAGATGTGCTGGAGGTCTGGGATCCCAGTACTCTGAAGACTGGAGCAGGGGCATCTGGAGCCCCAGACAAGCCTGGGCTACTCAGGTGTATGAATGGCTGGGATGTAATCGGCCAACCAAGTGCCACACAGGGAGGCCATGTTGGAAAAACAGCCCCACCCACATCCTTGAAATGAACATTTAATAAGGAACTTAAAGAAGGAGTGATCTGAAAAAAAATGTATTTGCAGACGTCTTAATGGACAATTAATTATTCTCTAGTATAAATGCTATAGTCTTGAGATATTAATTGTAGTAGTTTATAAACAAAGTAAAATCTAAAAGCTCATTCTCTAACGTTTGTAAGGAAAACAATGTAACAATTGCATGGGCAGAGCGAGACAAATAGAATAAAAATGCTACTGGACCTCAACAGTGACAAAGGTCTAAGACCTGGGTCCCGATACCTGGAGGCACATCATCCAGGGTTTGGAGAATTTTCAGACAGAATCGGATAGCAGTGTTTGTAGTTGAGGGCAGAGGTTTATGGCTTCACCAGACCTAGAAGCTGTTTTTCTGAATAATCTGATTTTTGAATCTGTGGGGTGGGAGCTGAATTAATTGGCTAGTTTTTGAAGTTCAGGGCTCTGGGCCTGGTGGTGAGGCCTACCTGCATTCTGCACAGCAGATATCCTAGAACCATGGGATTGCTTTTGGTATTTTTTTGGGGGGGGGGTGGGGTGGTGTTCTTTAGTAGCTATTTACAATTTAGCGGCAACAAAACACCACTTTATAAAACAAAGTAATATAGACCTTATTGTCTTTCAAACCCACTGTGTCTTCTGAGGACACACTCTTCTTTTAACTTTAAAAACACCCAAACTTCCCCACCCTCTTGTTTTTGACAGGTCTTGCCACATAGCCTTAGCTGGCATCGAATTCACAGAGATCCCCTTGCCTCTTCTTCCTGAGTGCGGGAATGATTAAAGAGATTGGCTACCAAGGCCAATGACTACTTTTTTGAGATGACACAGGTATCCTATTAACCTCCCAGAGTGGTCTCAGTTTCTTATACAAGGTCTGAATGGGAAATCACATTACTCTGTACTAATAACAAAGTAGCAAAGAGATTCGACTACTCATTAAGGTCCCTGGCAGAGACTCTCAGATGATACAGACTAATTCAAAGGATTAGGAGGTCTTGAAAAGGACCTTTGATGTTAAATGTCCATTGGAATTCGTAAGAGCCGGACTTGGCTGCCCAAGTCAAAGAACCTGCCGTCCTGGAATTTGAGTGCTTACATCATGTCTATGGCCATGTGGGTCTTGTGCTTGGAGCGCTACCTGCAGGTGTCACCTGTAGGTGACAGCGAATATGTTCTCCAGGAACATATTCGGCACCACTGGGGGAGGGGTGGTCTCCTTGTAGATGAGGCTGGAGATGGGCTTATATGTCTGGGTGTTTTGGTTGCATGTCAGTTACGTGCAGTGCTTGATAGAGGCCAAGAGAAGGTGTCAGATTCCCTGGAATGGGGTTATAGACAGCGGTTAACTGCCATGTAGTGGTGGAAATTTAACCTCAGATCTCTGGAAGAGCAGTCAGTACTCTTAATTCTTGAATCAGCTCTCCATCCTCTGCTCCTTTTCCTAATTTTAGTCATTCTTCTTTAGTGTATTACAGGTTTCTGATCAACCCAGCATTGAGGCCATTGTGCTTAGCAAGCTAACATGTGTCTTCAACGTTTGAAATGCTTGGGTGCCTGACTTCTCTTTGAAAGGTCTCTGGAGCATGTTCAATCAAACTGACATGACTATAGTATGAAAAAAGAACTGAAACTTGCTGGGGACTCTGCAGTCTATACTCTTAAAGATAGGCATTAGGTAAGAACTCTTAAATATACATAGTGTGCCAATTTTGTTGGGAAATGAAGGGTAGATCCTGACCATATACTTGTTCATCAAGACATGAAGAGATGTAGTATCAAGGACATTTATTAATATTTGAATTCTTTAAATATAGAATGTCCGCAAGATAGATATTCATTGTAAATCTCATTGCCAAACCTAAGAGGTCCTTTACTTCTTCTTTCATCCTTTTGTGTGGTGGGATTGCAGGCAAAGTCATTATTAATAGTTTTATATTTATGTTTAAAGTGTGTGTGTGTGTGTGTGTGTGTGTGTGTGTGTGTGTATACATGTTTTGAAGTTGACTATGAAGTCCAGAAGAAGCTGTTAGGTCCCTTAGTCCTGCAGTTACAGGCAGTTGTGAGCTGGCTGATGTGGATGCTAGTATTCAAACTGATCATCTCCAAGAACATATGCTCTTAACCACTGAACCATTTCTTTTTTTTAGCCATCTGAAACCATCTTAAAGGATCCTAAAATGGATTCTTTAAGCAATTGGTGTAACCTAGTCCTTTGTATCTCTTTATATGCAAACACTGTATGTTTCATTGATTATAGATGGAAGAAATAAGTGTGTAAGACCATAGTTGTTTCTTGAATAGGGCAAAAGCCATAGAACCATTTATTTTTGAATGTTTGGCAAAGATCTAGAAACTCAGAGATAAGAAAACCAGGGTCTGGGATGAATGAACAGCAAGATTATCTACTAATTGATGAATTGCTAAAGTCGATGCCCAGGAGTGAAAACTAGATTCATGAGATTATCAGAGAAAAAGACATTGAATCTTTTTTTTCAGGGAGCAGTTTACTGTTCCTACACCTAGACTTAGTGGCTTCAAAAGGTTGAGCCTAAGTACAGTAATTCTAAACATTGCAGAAATGTGTAGGAAGGGGCAGGAGTGTGGAAGAGTGTGAAGTTGTGGATACACACGTGGACATTGACCAGATTCTCTGCACTTTCTCCCGCCCCCCCTCCGCCCCCAGTTACAATTACAGGAGGATTCAGACATTTTATGTTACTGTCTTTTTTTTCCCCCCTAAAAATGTACAGTTTCAACAAAAACTTCAAAACAGGGATCTGTGGAGGGCTCTGTTGAATAGCATGGAATGGATAAGGCCACAATTGTATTGTATAGAAATATACATCCTCATTTTTGTCTTTACTATTGATACAGTCAAACATTGAATCACTTCTTAACTCTAGTGTTTTAACTGTGTAGCAATGCGAGTTATTTGTCATTAGTGGGATGGACTGCGCTCCAAAGAGCACAGCTGGCAAGTTGACTCATCAGGTGGGATCATGGCGTCCAACCCAAGGAGTTTAGTCTAAGCCTATGGAAGGTTTCTGGTGCAAGAGAAGAGAATCAAGCAGGCTGTCCCCTGATCATCATATCATGGTCATCTTTTGTGGGTGGTTACAACACTAAATACATTAACAAAAATGTAACAACAAAAACTAAGAACTTCAAAGACGATTGGCTTCTGAATAAATAATTTTGCTTCACTTCATGGTAGCAACCTTTTTTCCTTGCTTAAAAAATTCTTTACAATAATTCATTTTTTTTGAAATGGTTTAAGACCTTCATAGCTTTTACTCCTTTCACTGATGTGATGAAGAAGAAATCGAAGTGATACAAATGGTGCTTAAAGGATTTGCTAATAGATTTGCTTAGGAGCAAGACATTAAGTCACACAAAATAGAATTTAGCTAAGGTAGCACTGCCTCCAGAGATAAGCAAAAGTTATTTGGATGCTAATGTTTGTTTGTTTATGAAGATTCACCTCCAATTATGTTGCATTCCCATAACAAAAGGAGACTTCACAGCCAGTCCTTTAATGCTCCTGCTGCAGCTCTAGGGGGCAGTGCAGAACCACAACCTCCCTCAGTCCAGGCCTGCCTCTATGCTCTTGCTAGAAAAAGCATAATTCTGCCAGGTGGGCAAGAAGAACCTGGGTAACAACTATTCAACAAGAACACAACAGCCTTGTACTTCAGAAATAATTCTGGCAACATCTTTGCTCTAAATCTCCTATCTGCCCAAGTGGCCAGATTTGCAGTCTCCTGCCTCTGTTTAACTTGTTCAAAGTGTAATCTGAGGCTGGGACATGACAGAAAGCTAGGGATGACAAAGTGTGGAATGCATAACTCTGACGTGTATGGAAGGTAAGAAAGTCTGCTGTTGATGGTCAGCATCACTCACCAGAGCTGGACACATGCATATGTATTTGGGAGGGAGTTTCTTCCCCTTTAGTAATCTTTAAGTGTGAGGAATGATTTGTCACTGGATGGCCTAATACTATGAAAATTAATTTAAGAACAAACTAAGTACATATACTCTTTGATTTATACTTTAGAGATTAATTAATTATAAGGTTCTCTATGAATTACTGTACAGGCTTAGAAATGGTGAATACTGTACAGTCAAGGCAAAAACAGGAATGAAAATTAGAAAGTAGCCCTGCAGTGGTGATGTGCACATCTTTAATCCCAGTACCGGGGAGGTGAAGGCAGGCGGAGCTCTGAGTTTTAGGATAGCCTGGTCTACAAAATGAGTTGCAAGACAGCCAAGGCTACTCAGAGAAATTCCGTTCCAAACCAAACAAAAACAACTAAACAAACAAAAGAAAACAACCCCCCAACAAAGTAATTTTTTATACAAGGCTATGTATGGGTGAGGTCAAAACACATTTCCATCCTGAGAACGGGTTACAAGTGATCTTAATACGGTTCTGGTATTGTCTGTGTTGTCTGAGGTTTGAGCAGTCTCTAATCAACCACGTTAACAGTCTTCATTCAACAAGAGATGTACATGAGGATTAGGGAGGTAAGGGTGAGGTTCCTATTTTCTTCTTCTACCTCAGTTTTTACCCATTTAAAATAATGAGTTAAAGGAATATACCACTGACTTGATTGAAGGCAAAGAAAAGAAAACCAAGGTTCTAGTCTTTCCATGTTGCTTAGTTCTGGAAACTGGACACTAGTAACCTCCCTCCTATGTGTTCCGTTGTCATTGTTTGCAAGAGGGCAGGGGGAAATGCAGGTAGGAAAGTTGATTCTTCACCTGATGGAGGCCTCTTGAGGACATCAAGAAAGGGACTTAGGGTCACAAGGAGCAGCTGTATGTTCTGTTGAGAAATATGTGAATCTTGGAATTAAGGTCATTGTGGACCATTGTCGCATGCAAGATTTGCTGATGGTTTCAAGACGATTTTAGGAACTCATTGGTTTGCTAAGGCTCCCATGTCTGTGCATTTACACCTTCACTACAAAGATCCTGGCCTTCATTACAAAGGGAATGGATTATTTTTCCATTAAAAAACACAGTTATCTTTGTCACATAGGAAAGAATAATTCAAAGATTGCAATATAACTAGGCCACAAGGCAGTAACAATTTCTGATAAATATTTGTTTTATAATGTATTTCAACTCCTCTGCCAATTACACATATCCTTGATTATCTATGTTAAATAACACAGATATGTAAAGAACAAGCCATGTAGAACTTTCTAGTGCTTTCCTCAGGAATTACACAGTACAAAGACTGCTTATGTACTTGGAACTAGCTTAATTGTTTGTATTTCATATCTGAGGAACTGTTGTAAAGGCACAGTTTTTTTTTTTTTTTTCTTTTTGTGGGGGTTATGTTGCTTTCTTTGAGAAAAGGGGCCTTTACTGTGCAGGCCAGAACTATATGGTAAGGCCGTCTTGACAATACAAAAACAGAAAACTTCCAAAAAGGAAACTCCATTAAATTTTTTAGTAGGGCTTTCCTTTGTTTTTATATTTTGGGTTTAATTATACTGTAAGAACTTCACTTGTCAAGTTATCACAATTCCAAAATGTCTTAAGGCGATCTTAAAGCATTTCACGGTGCTTTCGTTCTTAAGTGCACACATCACATAGAAAGGAAGTGCCATTTCTGCGGGTTTTACCAACTTTGAATAACAAGCCCTCATTGGGTTAAATAGAGGACGATTTTAAAATGTTGAAGTTTCTTCTTGCTACGACAGTATTTCAGCACTTTCTACTGAAAAAAGTAGGTGGCTCTGAAAAGAGCCTTTGTTTCTATGGTTAAGGATCACTGTGAAAACCGGGGCTTATTTCCCCTTGGCCTTGTGGTGGCTCTCGGTCTTCTTGGGCAGCAGCACCGCCTGGATGTTGGGCAGGACGCCGCCCTGCGCGATCGTCACGCGGCCCAGCAGCTTGTTGAGCTCCTCGTCGTTGCGGATGGCCAGCTGCAGGTGGCGCGGGATGATGCGCGTCTTCTTGTTGTCGCGGGCCGCGTTGCCAGCCAGCTCCAGGATCTCGGCCGTCAGGTACTCCAGCACGGCCGCCAGGTACACCGGGGCGCCGGCGCCCACCCGCTCGGCGTAGTTGCCCTTGCGGAGGAGGCGGTGCACGCGGCCCACGGGGAACTGCAGGCCGGCCCGGGAGGAGCGGGTCTTGGCCTTGGCGCGAGCCTTGCCGCCTTGCTTTCCTCGTCCAGACATACTTAGAAAGGTGGCGACCACAATGTGAACTTGTCTCTGAAAATGTGCATGTTATACTTGCAGAGTAGATTGTAATTTGCGGTACTCATTGGCTAAAGTTACCTAAAAGACTCAGCCAATTAAAAATCAGACAAAGAGAGCCTATTTTGCATAAACGGAAGCTTCCGTTACCATGCACCAATGGGAATCTGTCAGATTTCGTACCATATTTGCATAGAAGTCCTATAAATAAATGGTCGAATGTTTCAGTGATTTACTCTAACTCGGAGGTTAGCCTTTGAGCACTATGCCTGAGCCAGCGAAATCCGCGCCCGCCCCGAAGAAGGGCTCCAAGAAGGCCGTGACCAAGGCCCAGAAGAAGGACGGCAAGAAGCGCAAGCGCAGCCGCAAGGAGAGCTACTCGGTGTACGTGTACAAGGTGCTGAAGCAGGTCCACCCCGACACCGGCATCTCTTCCAAGGCCATGGGCATCATGAACTCGTTCGTCAACGACATCTTCGAGCGCATCGCGGGCGAGGCGTCGCGCCTGGCGCATTACAACAAGCGCTCGACCATCACGTCCCGGGAGATCCAGACGGCCGTGCGCCTGCTGCTGCCCGGGGAGCTGGCCAAGCACGCCGTGTCCGAGGGCACCAAGGCCGTCACCAAGTACACCAGCTCCAAGTGAGCGCTCGGACCTCGCTCTTAATCCAAAGGCTCTTTTCAGAGCCACCAATTTTATCATTTAGAGTGCTTGTGACACCTGATTTCAGCTCGTCGTAAACTAAGGCGCAAAATGCACGGTATTATGTAAGTAGATCTTTTTAAATACGTTACTACTACTTAGCATTTACTACGGCTTCTAGTCCTACAGTATCACAGCTTTCTAAAATTTAGTTCCAATGCTTTGATGGTTTTCAGGGAATGCGTGTGCAAGTTGCCAGACTCAAAAATAATGGGCTGTGTTTAAATGCACCGTTGGCCACTAACTAGTCTACACCATTAGTGCTAATGTAATTCTAAAGCTAATTAAATACATCTGTGGCTTTGGTAGCACTTCATATAAAAAATCATTGAATCTATTATAAACTCGCATCTTTCATTTTGCGGAGAATTTTCAGTCTTTTTTTTAAGTTTTAAGAGTACAGCTGAAGAGATTTTTTTTTTCCCCCTTATGAGAAGTCAGGTAGCTACATTACTGGCATGGCAGTCGCTGCCCAGCATCTTCATTCGCAATATGAGATTCTGAAAACTTAACTTGTTGTGTTTCAGGAAATTCTACTTCCAAAGATAGACTAGATACTTTATTCTGGAACTACAGAAAGCAAAACAACCTATTGTGTCTTTATGTCTTTTCAACTGACGATTAACTTATATAAAGCTACAGAATATTACTCTGTATTATGTTCTTGTGAGATCAAATGAGAATAACATTTACATAAAGCTGCAGGACAGTAATATTCCAAATTCTATTTCCCTTCTCCGAGAATATATACTGTGTATTCGTGTTATCTTTGACTTTTGACTATACATTTTCTAGACTAATGTGTGGTGTGTGTGTGTATGCCTTTAAATAGGTTTGTGCGCACGTGTGCATATAGCTGCTGTCCCGAAACAAGCTTTTAGAAAATGCTGGCTTCTGCCTTTCGAGTGCTAGGATTATAAAATATGGGCAGCTTTCTACTGGCAATTTCACCAGCAAAGGTTAATGGGTATAAGAACCTGGTATATTCCCCTGCCCAGAATGTCACAAAAAGACAAACAGATGGAACTTTAGGCTAATAGACTTCCCATTCCAACTAATAAGAATTATATCTGTGATTAAATTCCTGTAAACTTCAAGTAGTGTGACCACAACTCTCTCTTTGAGAAGGTGGGTGGCTCTGAAAAGAGCCTTTGTGTTAAGGGTGAGGTCGGTGCGCTCACTTGGAGCTGGTGTACTTGGTGACGGCCTTGGTGCCCTCGGACACGGCGTGCTTGGCCAGCTCCCCGGGCAGCAGCAGGCGCACGGCCGTCTGGATCTCCCGGGACGTGATGGTCGAGCGCTTGTTGTAATGCGCCAGGCGCGACGCCTCGCCCGCGATGCGCTCGAAGATGTCGTTGACGAACGAGTTCATGATGCCCATGGCCTTGGAAGAGATGCCGGTGTCGGGGTGGACCTGCTTCAGCACCTTGTACACGTACACCGAGTAGCTCTCCTTGCGGCTGCGCTTGCGCTTCTTGCCGTCCTTCTTCTGGGCCTTGGTCACGGCCTTCTTGGAGCCCTTCTTCGGGGCGGGCGCGGATTTCGCTGGCTCAGGCATTGTAACAAAAGCTAACAGCAAAAACTTAAAACAGTTAAAAGTCAGCGTAGTAGGGCTCTAGTGGTTAGGCTTTTATAGACTTTGTATGCAAATGAGCGCTTCAAGATTAGTCAGCTATGATTTGAAAACAGGTCAGTGACACAATTATGTAAATTCGGTCTTATTAGATCTCCTCTCTTATTGGTTACAGTGAATAAGATAATTTTACCCAATCACATTTTACATTTTCACTTCCAGCTTCCAGTATAAGTAGCTTCTCATCAGGTCCCCATAACTAGGATTTCCAAATTTCTTTGCTGTGTAGTTGCCTTTTACTCTTTCTGCTATGTCTGGACGTGGCAAGCAGGGCGGCAAGGCTCGCGCCAAGGCCAAGACCCGCTCCTCCCGGGCCGGCCTGCAGTTCCCTGTGGGCCGCGTGCACCGCCTCCTCCGCAAGGGCAACTACGCCGAGCGGGTGGGCGCCGGCGCCCCGGTGTACCTGGCGGCCGTGCTGGAGTACCTGACGGCCGAGATCCTGGAGCTGGCTGGCAACGCGGCCCGCGACAACAAGAAGACGCGCATCATCCCGCGCCACCTGCAGCTGGCCATCCGCAACGACGAGGAGCTCAACAAGCTGCTGGGCCGCGTGACGATCGCGCAGGGCGGCGTCCTGCCCAACATCCAGGCGGTGCTGCTGCCCAAGAAGACCGAGAGCCACCACAAGGCCAAGGGGAAGTAACTTGACAACCATCAGAACTTTCAGAAACTTCAGACCCAAAGGCTCTTTTCAGAGCCCCCACAGTTTCAAAGAAAGAGTTGAACAAACTACAATAATGACCTCGGTCTTTTGGCGACCTCCAGTTACTAACAGTTTGAGACTATTGGTCAAATCAGTAGAGCCTCCCGGAATGTAATTAGGTAAATAAGGAAACCTAGAAAGCCAGGCGTATTTTCCCAGAACTACTAGCCAACACCAAGTATGCAGATTCAACATGGTGATAATGCTTTTTGTCTTAAAGTCTCCTAAAAATTTTGGAGGTCTTTATCCGTGCAGTTTAGATACTGGATGGACACCAAGATTCATAATTGTACCGATTATTGACAATTATGAATCTATATTCCTTTTTGCAATGTCAAACTTCACCTAGGTCTTAAGCAGCATTCTACCTGTTCAGAGTAAGCCTTTTCTTATTCCCATCCTGTTTATACACGTTTAGAATCCCCAATTGTTTTATGGAAAATGATCATTCAAGTTAAAAATCAAGTTTGAAATTAGTGCTTCACTGTGAATGTTCATTTGGAATTCAAAGCCTTAGCAATGACATAAAAACCCTCAAAATTCAATTAGGTTTTGATTTTGATGTGAATCTTTTCTGTAGAAGAAAAAAAAAACCTATCAAATTACTCACAGCCCGTGCCTTTCCAAAAATTGTTTCGGGCTCACTCTAAAAAAATTTAGGAGGCAAACAATCTGTATCTAATAAGTAATAATTATTTTGAAGGAAACTGGGTAGTACAATTTTTTTTTCTGTGCAAGATAAAAGAACAGTATTGACTTAAAGTGGAAAACCAATCGAGGGAACATATTAAAATGAACAGGGCGGGTCCTGGACAGTGATGTCAACAGAGCTACCAATAAGGTTCCCGTGCTAATTTTCCTGTGTGGGCCAATGAAAACGGGGCTCGCTCGCCTTATATATACGTACTCCGGCAACGGAGCATTAGGCTTTGCCAAAATTTCATCTTCTTTTTGTATAAGCTATGGCTCGCACAAAGCAGACCGCTCGCAAGTCCACCGGCGGCAAGGCCCCGCGCAAGCAGCTGGCCACCAAGGCCGCCCGCAAGAGCGCCCCGGCCACCGGCGGCGTGAAGAAGCCGCACCGCTACCGGCCCGGCACCGTGGCGCTGCGCGAGATCCGGCGCTACCAGAAGTCGACCGAGCTGCTGATCCGCAAGCTGCCGTTCCAGCGTCTGGTGCGCGAGATCGCGCAGGACTTCAAGACCGATCTGCGCTTCCAGAGCTCGGCCGTCATGGCGCTGCAGGAGGCCTGCGAGGCCTACCTGGTGGGTCTGTTTGAGGACACGAACCTGTGCGCCATCCACGCCAAGCGCGTCACCATCATGCCCAAGGACATCCAGCTGGCCCGCCG